ATCCCTCCACACGTGAGGAAGCCCCCGGAAGGGCCCCGCCGAGACGGTGTGGAGAAATCCCATACAAGGATCTCACGCCGTCATATTCGGCAGAGCGGGCACACCCCAGTGTTTTAGTGGGTATGCCCGCGAGCGTTCACCTGGTCATAAGTTATGACCGGCTGAACGCACGCGGGAGAGCCCCACATAACCTCGTCGCACACCTGGCGGCGGGGTATGCAAAAAAAAAAAAGGCCATATGCAATCTTGTCAATTCCTGGACATTTACCCGCAATTTACCCCATTTGCAATTTCCAGTAGAGGTTGAAAGAAGGATATTTGACATTGCGCGTTAACCTACAATGCGAAGAGATGGCGTTGCCGTGCAGCTTAAGAAAAGCTAGAGAAAATTGGACACGGATCAGGTCCGCGGTAGCATAATGGTCAGTGCATTCGCCCGGATAGCGAAGAGTGCTGGTTCGAGTCCCGTTTGCTGCTTGGTCCGCGTGGATTTTTTTCTAGGAACATTTTCTTTCGATTGAGAAATCTAGCAGTTACATGCTTAAGAATTAAAATACAACAACTAATTTGAGCGGCCCAATAGGCTAGTTGACCCTTTTTGGAAAAAGGTTTTAAATGGTTAATAAATGTTCTATTAGACCGAAAAAAATGTATTGTATTTTTTTGAGACCTAGAAAGCTACAAATCTTTAATTTTAAAATAGACTTTTCATGGACATACAAAAACGCTGCCGGCCATTTTAGTCTATAGATTATCTATGCTATGACGTTGACAGTAGTAAACAAAAACTCGTAAGCACGTAGAAAATAACCCATCTGAGTTTATAATAAAAAGAAAACATGATTTTTAATAGATACCACGAAAAATATAGTAATTATTATTATTGTATTGTACGAGAATGTAAAAAAAAATCTTTGAAGACTCCAGGAAAGTTGTGGATTAAAGTGCCGAAAGAAATTAACATACGCAATATCTGGTTAGAACTTGCTAAAAGGGATCCTGCAACTTTAACGACTCATAGTAAAATTTATTTTTGAGAAGATCACTTTGATGTAAATACTCATTGAATAATATTTTAAGTCTCTTCATTTATTATCAGTTTTAATAATACAAGTTTTAAAGTTATGTATGAATGACATCTAGTTGTTTACTAAAACAGACGTCACAATCATGGCGGATGTGGCGAACAGCGTTTTTAGTGTTTAAAAAGTATAGATTAAAAATTGTTTTTTTAAATTAAATTTCTACAGCAATCTTCTGCTTTTATGAAGTGAAATCGATATATTTAGGTTCCTTAGACAAAATACTTTAAGAAATAAACATTTATTTAATACAATTCGACATGAGTCAACTAGCCTATTCGAATGGAAAATCCGCAGTAGTTATCCATAACGTAACAATAAACAACATATCTTATGCCCACCAAAGTCTGTATACAAATATATTTAACACGTGCATTGATACTCGTGACCACGTAACCATACCTACATAAACATCACTTTATGTAATTTATAGTTGGACAAGCAGTGATCAAGTAATGGCCCTGATAGTTATCTAGCACGTCAAATATTAAACAAAAATATAGGTATACCGGAGGAAACACCCACAAACCAATTTAAACTATATTATAAAGTAAATACCTATGTTTATTGAATGTCATCGTATTATCATATTGTTATTATATAGACGACTAGCTGTTTTTTTTTTAATTAGGGATATTTTCTCGCAGTAAAACGTAGCCTATGAGTAAATTTTATTAAAATCGCTCCAGCCGTTTAGACGTGAAGAAGTAACATTAATACACACTCACAAACTTTCGCCTTTATAATATTAGTATGATACACCTTGTGATGTCAGCAGACCATGACACCAAACAATACAAGACTAAAAAATTGGTTTTCTTTGTAGGAGACGCTACAAATGACATCGCCCCATCTGTACCCTGAGTAGGAGTTTGAGCTCACGAAAACTATCATAGTTTTCGTAATTGTAAATTATGTTTCTACTAGTGGCCCGCCCTCGCTTCGCTTCGGGGTAGAATTGATCAAAATCCTTTCTTATCGGATGCCTACGTCATAACATCTACCTGCATGCCAAATTTCAGCCCGATCCGTCCAGCGGTTTGGGCTGTGCGTTGATAGATCACTATTTCAGTCAGTCACCTTTGAGTTTTATATATATATATAGATGTCCATTTTACTGATAAGTAACCAAATATACTTAAAATTTAAGAAGACGCACATGATTTAATGATAGAATTTAAACACTGTTTATTTGTATTGAAACAAAAACAATAAAATCTACGAGTGCCGGCTCACGAAAACTATCATAGTATGTTCACACACTGCAGACTTATTTTCCCGCCTATATTTCATATCTGCGATATGTTCTTTTACCCGAGTCCCTATACTCCTCTTTGTTTGCCCGATGTAGGAGAGCCCACAGTCGCATTCAAGTTTGTAGACACGTTTTGACGTTTTGCATCCTTTTCAGGCTGCATCGTCGTCAGAATTGCGAGAGGGATGTGAAACACGTCATAAATACATAAATCATAGCATCTCCGTTGAAACTTGATTTATTTAGGAAAATGGTGTACGTGACAACCTAAGAAACAAATATTATACTTTCCTGTTTTTAAAAATACGTAACACATCAACAAGCCTATCGTAAGGTCAACGATACGAATTTTCACATCACAATATCGCAACATTGTTATAAACATTCTTATCAACACTTACCCAACTTTCATTCATATGAAGTAAAGAGTTACCATGAAAGACAATCCAAGATTAACATAAACATATCTGCATTAAAAGTGCCACATAAGCAGATAATCCAGTGATAATCTCTGAACATAAGATAAATACGACACAGATTGTATCGTGAAAAACAACTTTTTTTTTCGTTTATATTAAGCGTGACATCATTTATTTTAATCGCAGTAAGAAAATCACTGCTGCATCACAGACAATACATGTGGAAATCACAAACATTCACATTTGATACAATACAAATTCTCATCAGCATTGCCAGCCAAAATTCTCATCATATTGTATCATCTTCCGGAGCCTTCCTTTTTAAATTCAAATTCAAATTCAAATGCTTTATTGTAGATTAGTACAGCAAATTGGTGTTAGGTAAAAAGTATAAAGTGCCACTACATTTCGACCTTATATTACAAGGTATTTGTATATTTATGAAATAATCAGGATAACAATTATATTAAAAGCAAAATTATTATATTACAATTATACCGCCGTACAGTGGTTGCAAGTCATAGGAAGAATGGGCCTTGCCAAGGGCATCGCCAAATGGGGGACAGGACGGGACGGGACACCTCTAGACACTATCAAAATGGCCATGCATAAAGCCATACGCGGACCCCCGGGTCCTAACTTTTGTAAATACAAAGATGCCCAGGGCATCGCCAAACGGCGGATGGGACGGGAGACCTCTAGACACTATCAAAAATGGCCATGCATAAAGCCATACGCGGACCCCCGGGTCCTAGCTTTTGTAAATACAAAGATGCCCAGGGCATCGCCAAACGGCGGATGGGACGGGAGACCTCTAGACACTATCAAAAATGGCCATGCATAAAGCCATACGCGGACCCCCGGGTCATAACTTTTGTAAAAACAAAAATGCCAAGGGAATCGCCAAACGGCGGACGGGACGGGGGACCTCTACACTATCAAAAATGGCCATGCATAAAGCCATACGCGGACCCCCCGGTTCTAAAATTTGTAAATAATAAGATGCCAAGGGCATCGCCAAACGGGGGACGGGACGGGACGGGGGACCTCTAGACACTATCAAAAATGGCCATGCATAAAGCCATACGCGGACCCCCCGGTTCTAAAATTTGTAAATAATAAGTTGCCAAGGGCATAGCCAAACGGGGGACGGGACGGGGGACCTCTAGACACTATCAAAAATGGCCATGCATAAAGCCATACGCGGACCCCCCGGTCCTAAAATTTGTAAATATTAAGATGCCAAGGGCATCGCCAAACGGGGGACGGGACGGGACGGGGGACCTCTAGACACTATCAAAAATGGCCATGCATAAAGCCATACGCGGTCCGCGTATGGCTTTATGCATGGCCATTTTTGATCAACGGTCCCGACGGTCCCCGGTCCTAACTTTTGTAAATACAAAGATGCCAAAGGCTTCGCCAAACGGGTGACGGGACGGGCCGGGACGGGGGTCCTCTCAAAGATTGCGAATTTGTTTAACAATCACAGATCTACCGCGATTAATGAGCCATCAAACTCCTTTCACTTATTCCTCTCTTCTCCTCTTAGATATTTTTTTCATTTATTATAAAATTTTTACTTTACTACATAACATAAGACGAACGCGAGCTGAGTGACATTTGGGAAATAGGTATTTGAAGAAACTATTGCTGCCACGCATTGGCAAATACCATGCGATAGGGAAAACAGTATTTAACGTTAAAAATTGCGTATTAAAATTGCAAAATTGGAGGAATGGCTCGACTTCCTCCTCGAAAATTAGATATGTATATGTAAAAAAAAACAGAATAATAAGTAGTTATACTTTGCCCCTATGTTTTGCTTTTTTGTAAATGCTTATTAAATCTCCACACTAGACATCTTTAGTCGTGATAAAAATTTGTTTATTTTTGGAATTTTCGAGGTCTTCTAGTTTCTTTGAAACACAAGTTATCGATAAAGAACAAAGACATAGGTGCATAGAATAAGTAAAATTATATTTTATGTATCAAAATCCATCCATCTGTTTAAAATCAAAGAGGAATCAGTCAAGAACGTTTGTGTGGAAATTGATTGCCCGCCTCCTTCTCAAATAACGTCAAATTCAGTAAGTTACAGCAGATTTCACGCTCTAATTTTTTTTTCTGTGTAACCAATTCATCTTAATATCACAAATACACTGTAGACTGTAGAACGATATTCCTAGAAGCTATAAGCTTTCTACAATACCGAATGGCAGGAAAGAAAACAATGACACTCACCCTATAGAGTCCCCGGATGCCCTCCGTCCTATAGATCTTGGTGAGGCCATCGACCATGCCCCGGTACCGCTTGTGCTCTGCCATGTGGTCTTCGTTGTACTGCAGGCAGAGACGAGTCTTCACCACCCATATCGGGTTGGTCATCAAGAGAGACAAGATGCCTGCTTCGGCTGCTGCCAGCATATGCATGCCTGGGCCAAGCGGCGTCCGCGCATTCCCACCTTGGATCCATGTCTTGATTGCGTTGTAACTGGGATGTTGAATTTAGATTTTAATATATATTTAAGGCAACATTATGATAAATAATGTAACATAGAACAAAAGGGGAAGTGTTTTTCTCGAAGGAAATTCAAATTTCCAACTCATGGAAAAAGAATATACAGAAGTAAAAGTGTACGTACACACACATGTATACCATAAACATACATACAAAAAATCAAAAGACCAATGGTATCATTTTGATTGATAGTGATAAAACCAAAATTTTCCTCAAACAAGATCTAATATTAAAATATTATTTAAATAAAATATAATAACATAGTTATACAATCAGTTTTATCATCAAATGCTCTTTAGATGTATCAATATGGACTAATTTATTAATACGCAGAGCTTTGCGCAGAATTTTAGCATAATAATGACAAGTTTACACTCAACACAGTTAAATGCAGAACAAGCAAATTTTTAGATATAAGCATCACACACATACATCTTATAGGTATGGTTAACTAAACCTATCTATCAATTAATTACATAATAATATTGTGAAATAATCAAGGTTAATATGTAAATAAAATATCTAAGAACCTTTTTGAAATAAAAATCTATTTATACAAGATCTAACTTTATAAAGAAAATAATAATCTATTTATCGGTTTGTTAAATAGATATTTTACATTATAGTAGCTTATTATTTTGTAGCATGGAGTTTCTTTGCTCACAATTACCATTTACCAATGAATTAAGATTACATATTTTCAGCTTCTTAATATATATACCCAAACTTACAAAAACAACCAAAAAATATATAGGTACTTACAATAAAAAGTAAAATCCCCATGCAGATCCAGAGCCCCACACGTTGGGTGTGACACCTCTATAGAGGCCTTTTACACCCTCCTTCTTAACTATAGACACGAAAGCACTGCCCAGCCCATCATATCTTGGTACTGTTGTGGTCCTGCCATCATTTACTGTAAAATGTAGATCGGTTAAGTTGTTGAGCTTTGGATATTTACATTTATTATTACTGTTGTCAGGCAGGCTGATGAATGCCTGCATGTATTGTTTGGGTTACAAGTGGTTTCCTCGGTTTCCGTTTTCGCCCCAAAATCATGATCGCATGTTATCAGATGTAATCAAGGCAGTCTAAGAAACAGTTTAGGAGGAAACAAATCAAGGGGCAACCACTCTTAACCCTATTATTTTTTAATGCATTCTTGAATTGATTCTTAGACTGTGCTGAAACTACTTGTGTTGCTAATCAGTACCAGGCTTTCACAACCCTAGTGCTAGGATGCCTCAACTAGGGATTGCAATCCCACAAAACGGGATCACACATTCCCGTGAGGTCCCGCTGCTTTTATTTATCTGCTGGACCTTCAAATCGCGGATCCCGAAAATCGTTAACCTGTGCAGGATTGAGTAATCCTGCATTTCAATACTACTTGAATGCGCTGCGGGATTACAATTCCTAGCCTCAACCTTGCAATATTTTATGGTAAAAAAGGAAGATTGGGCAAGCTGAAACAATGTCATTTTATTAACTTTAGATAACTTTCTAACTAAAATAATTATTTATGTTGACAAATAATGTGTCTGTGCTCAATATTGGCTTCATGGCAAGCATTTACCAAATAAAGTGTTTTTTAAGTGTATTTTCTTCAAATTACCCTCTTTCTTATACAATCATTATCATCAGCCTATTAATTTCCCCACTGCTGGGGCACAAACCTTCCTATGGATCCTATGGATATATGGATGGATATGGAGCCTATGGATGGAATAAGGAGACGTTGTATGAATATATTTTATTTTTGCTTATTTCATCTTATAATGTTACCAACATAATAACTATTTGATAAACATACATTATTAATATATTGTTTTAAACTTTCATGGTCACTAACATTATAGATATTAACGGGATTGTTACCATGTACCTTGTTTTTTATGAGTCTCCGATATTTCGGCACTGTTGCAAGCGCCAGTTACGTCAGTTACTCCGTGATCATGGCGCTTGCAACAGTGCCGAAATATCGGAGACTCATAAAAAACAAGGTAAATGGTAACAATCCCGTTAATATCTATAATACATTATTAAAACAAATATTGACTATGTTGTTCTTTATTTGAAGGGAATTTTATCTTTCCTGGTTTACATAAAAGTTGCAAATCATCTTGTGTAATAATTAATCTTTGCTGATAAACAAGATTCCAAGTAAACAAATACACAAAATATAAATAAGTATCAAAGGTAAAAATTATGGAAATATTTAACAATTTATAATTAGCATTTAAGTTTCAGACCTGGGGGCCAATCGCCTAACGGAAATGCTTTGGAAAACGCTAACGCTTACGATTTTATTTTGTTATTTCTAGCCGCCTGAGGTATTCAAATGCCTCGCGCTCTTTCTTTTTCTTTTGCATTGGTAATAACAATATTTAAAAAAATGAGCGTGAGGTATTCGAAAACCTCAGGCGGCTAGAAATAACAATATAAAATCGTAAGCGTTAGCGTTTCCCAAAGCATTTCCGTTAGGCGATTGGCCCCCTGCCTGTCACCACTGTCACCAAAAACAACTTTGTGCTCAGATCTCAATAGTCAATCAGCCATTAAAGAAGGTTTTTCATGGTATGAAAAGTAGGTATGTATATTTTGTAATCCACAATTTAATTTTGATTAAAAGATTTACAGCTCCTATGATAAAGCAAACAAATGATCGGTTTCAAGCCCCTATCCCTATAACTTAATTACTTAACCTTTAAAAGTAACACACTTTGATTTATACTAATAAAATTTTAAATGTGGTATTTTGTTCTTGTCCTGTAAGGTTTATGAACCAAATTATGATGATTTCATTATAGGTGATGAAGCAGTTGGAGTTTCAAATTTGGTAGGGTTATTCATTTACTGGCTTTTCTAATGTAGTACTATTTATAATTGTATACAATAATTAATTAATGTATAACACACAGCTAAAAATGAATTTGGGATCTCATCTCGAGCTACTACTGCAAAAAGTTGAACACAGGGCAGTCATTTGCATTTATCTAAGTTCAAGGTCAGCAGAGCCGTCACTCCTGATTTGTCGCTTAATCTAAACACTAGATACCTATCCCACAAGTGAAACGATCGATGACCTAACCTTATGGTCACAAGACAATCTCACATGGTAATTTTACGACACAAAAAATGATAAAAACTCACCAGCAAATCTAATTTTTATGAGGTCCAAAGGGTGCAAAATTAACGTAGATGTCACTCCACCTGATATACCAGCTACCAGGTGTTCGTATTTGATGTGGCTAAGCAGTGCTAGCTTAGACGACGGTGAATTTGGATTCTTCATTGTAGTCATGACGAATAAACTAGATCACAGACAAAATTTTATATTACAGCATCTTGTGGAGAAATATTAAAATACTACTATCTACCGGCGTACACTTTCCCAAAAGTCTTTAACGAAATTTAACTTAAATAACTTGCCACTACACATTATTGCTCCCGTAAAATAACACGAAATTCCGTGCAACTAAATGAAATGAATGAACGGATGGATGGAAAAGTGAAGTGACTGAATTTTCTAGTCATACGTTCCGTTTCATCGATACATTTCTACATTCAATGAGTTCAAAAATATAGTATAATCTCATTCATTTCTTTTGTGGATACACGTGTACATAAAATTACTTTACGTAATTTATTTATGACGTTTTTCAAAATTACAATAAAAAGGAAATAAAGATATGCATTTTTTATATTAGTTATATGCTTAGAATGAAGTACAAGATGATGCAATTTCTGTCCGAATCTATAATAATGATTTATTGTTATAAAAAATATGTTACTTTTCTCTGTCAAATAATTACTTTACCTTATTATTAAATATTTTTAAAGTGTGTCCAAAATTAATGGAAATGAATCACTATGAATACTCCTGCTAGATTGCTTAATAATTTAGTAAAAATACAAGTTAAGTTTTGAACTAAATCGAATCGATATGAGGTGGGATTCGGAAATAAAACATTTATCGCCAGTTATCAAAATATAAAAATAAATTGGTAGTTTCTTGATAAAATTAATTTCAAACAGCTTTCATTATTCTTTATTATTTTATACGCAAACCTGTATAATTAAAGAAATGCAAATTGAAAACTTTCACATCAAACGTTTATTTGTTTATTAAGTTTATTTAATTAACACGTGTCTTTCATACGTGCATTCTTTTTTTAACAGACGTTTATTAAGTATCTCCTGTTTAAAAAATAATTTACAGGTATAACAATAGGGTCGATATGGTATATACAATAAAATGAAGGAATTACCATAACCTAGCGATAAACTTCAGGAAAACAAAACTTTTGATCTTCCACCCACATCAAAAAGATTCTCTTACTTTCAGTTTCCAATATAAAGAGGAAAAAATAGAATTTGTCAATGAGTACAGCCTTCTTGGACTTACCTTAGATAAATATGTTAAATGGAAACAGCATATCAGTAAAATAAGATCTAATATAGCCAGATCCATATACGCTTTCCAAGAAATTAAAAAAAACGAAATACGACTAGTCATGGTTTAAGTACGGAGTGATCCTCTGTAGAAATAGCACGGACTTACTTTCTATTAAATTTAAATTCTACAAAAAAAAGTTATTAGGAATACTAGACAATCTAAGAAATACTCGGAGTTGTACCCCTGTCTATAAAAAGCACAATATCCTTACTACCCTGTACAACAGTAGAAATATGAAAGTTAGTCTGACAAAATCCAGAACAATACACCAAACGCTAGGATGGTCTAATAAAATACTCACACGAAATAAAAATAAATTAATGTTGCAAGTTTTTCTATTAAATCACCACTCATGTAGTCCTCATATAACGTTAAAAAAATATTATAAAAATAACTTACTGAAGCAAATCTAAAACGAAAATAATTTCGTAAAGTTTTAAACACTCATAAAATTATTGTAAAACAAAGAATATTACACAGTCAATGAATATTTAAATAACTAATAATTAGAGAATTATAAAATTTAATGAAAATGTAAAATTATTCATAATACTTGATTATATAAAATGGTAACTTAAAGAAAGCAAATAAAATAAGTTGATACATATATATATATATATATATATATTAATAATAATATTATACAATTTATATGTTTATGTATAAGAAATAAAATGTTCAACTGAATACTTATCAAAAGATGCGTTAACCTCACTTACTTCTTAACTTTGTTATGCCCAAAAGGATCCAAAATTGTATTTATATACCTACCAGCATTGCAACATTTTGGAATTCAAATAATTTTGATTTTATTAATATATTTCCTCTTAGTGGTTTTATTTGAAGCTAAGGTAAGTTACTCTGGTGTCAAATAAAGAAAAAGTTTTGCACCGACGCCAAACAAGGACAGAATTATTTTCAGAGTGCATATGTATATGTGATATAGTATGTATGATTGCATGTGCATTTAATGTAACGTTAACCATCCAGATATTAAGCACTTAAGAAGCTATGGTGGAATATCGATAGTTTTAGATATACTTTATAATCTGGTAAGGTCAACGTTATAATTATAAGTATAACGTTTACATTGCGATTTTCATGATGAATGACTTTAAAATAAAACAAAAAAATCTCAAATGTTAAAAAAATCTCTTTAATTTGTGTTGCGTGCACCACAACACAACGCGCGCGGCTAATCTTCGGACATTGACTCACGCGGCGGCATCATGCAATGTAGACGGAGTTGGTTGCTGCGTTCGAATCTGACGTATATTATATACCACTCGGCCATGGAGGTTGTCAAGGCTAAGGCATTAAGGGGTATATACCTAAACTTATTAAATAGATGGCTGTGTAAGAATCAATTTTAATTATTTTCAAACACAAAATCTACTTCTTTTTTGAACTGTTTATTTTACAGATGTATTGGTAGTTTAAACATTTTAATCTATGGCAACATTTTATGCTGTTCTTTTTGACAGCTCTGAGCTCAACTCAACTATTGCCCGATTATTACGTAAAGCAGAGACATTTTTTTACATTATTAGTGTGACGATAGAATAAAAATGTTAAAAGTAGCGACAAATTTGAGATTCATTTCAAAACAGGGCAATCAAATAAGATGCTTGGCGACTGCGGCCGCGTACAAGCAAGCTCTTGTCAACGTTCCTCCGACTCGACTTACAGTGCTCGATAATGGTCTTCGCGTTGCATCAGAAGATTCAGGCGCTGCTACAGCTACCGTAGGCCTGTGGATTGATGCTGGATCCAGGTACGAAACGGCCAAGAACAATGGTGTCGCACATTTCCTTGAACACATGGCTTTCAAAGGCACCAGCAAAAGGTCACAGACCGACTTAGAACTACTAGTTGAAAACATGGGGGCTCACTTAAACGCCTATACCTCTCGGGAGCAGACAGTGTTTTACGCCAAGTGTCTCGCCAACGATATTCCAGCTGCGGTCGAAATTCTTGCTGACATTATTCAAAATTCGTCACTCGCCGAACCCGAAATCGAACGAGAAAGAGGTGTAATCCTCCGTGAAATGCAAGACGTCGAGAGCAACCTTCAAGAGGTAGTTTTTGACCATCTGCATGCAACTGCATTCCAAGGCACTCCTCTAGGACAGACAATTCTTGGACCCACCAAGAACATCAAGAAAATCTCCAAAGCAGATCTGCAGGCATATATCAAGGCCCATTATCAGCCTGCTCGTATTGTACTTTCTGGAGCAGGTGGTGTTGAACATGAAAAGCTAGTGGACCTTGCAAACAAGCATTTCAGTGGACTCAAGAATACTGTTGCAGATGTGCCTGACCTAGCACCATGCCGTTACACAGGCTCTGAAATCAGAGTCCGTGATGACTCTATGCCTCTCGCACACATTGCGATTGCTGTCGAAGGTGCCGGCTGGACCGATGCTGACAACATTCCTCTCATGGTTGCGAATACTCTTGTTGGTGCCTGGGATCGTTCCCAGGGTGGTGGTGGTAACAATGCTTCCTACCTAGCACGAGCTGCATCGATTGAGAATTTGTGCCACAGTTTCCAGTCATTCAACACCTGTTACAAGGATACTGGTCTTTGGGGTATTTACTTTGTATCTGAGCCTTTGCAAATTGATGATATGGTGTATAATATTCAGAAGGAATGGATGAAGCTCTGCACATCAGTCACTGAGGGTGAGGTTGATCGTGCTAAGAATCTTCTGAAGACTAATATGCTTCTTCAACTCGATGGCACCACACCTATTTGTGAAGACATTGGCCGCCAGATGCTGTGTTACAACCGCCGTATTCCCATCCATGAGCTTGATGCTCGTATTGAGTCTGTTACTGCCCAGAATGTGCGAGATGTTTGCTACAAATACCTATTTGACCGTTGCCCTGTGGTTGCTGCAGTAGGACCCTGTGAAGCTCTCCCGGATTACACTAGACTCCGTGGTGGCATGTACTGGTTGAGGGTGTAAACAAACCTTGTAGTAATTTATAGAAAATATATAAATCAATTAAGATCGAAAAACATTAAACCAATTAACCAAGATCTGTTGTTTTATTAATATAAAACGCATTGTTTTTGGTGACAAGTGATTTTTTTTTGTAAGTAAATATAAAATAAATTGTGTAAATAAACATTTAGAAATTATAAAATTGTCTGTTATTCTATTGATACTTAGATGTTCCACCTACCACTATGGTCTTCTTAGAAGAACATTCTCAACTCGGCCTCCCTGGGCACACTAATTGCGCGTGCCTACGCTGCTGTGCATCAATACTGTTTATAAGGCGCTTTGCAGACGACGGGGCGGGGTGGGCTTTTTGTCCGCGAAGCAATAAAAACCGCGTCTGCCCGTCGATGTCTGCGGCTGCCCTCGCCGCGTACACAAAGCACACGACGGGCAGAGGCAGTCAGTTCAGGACGTTCGTTCTAGTGAATAGTCCATCACTAAAAAGCACGTGGCGCGGACTGAGCTAGCCGCCCCGCGCCGCCGTCTGCGTTACTGCATATAAACTGGTTTGTATGATCCACGGCAGGCAGCCTCGGCCATGCCCCACCGCCACTGCCCGCCGGGCACCTTCGGCGCGGTCTTTTTGCCCTCTGTGTGCGTTTGTAGTATAGGATTTACTTTGTGCTATCGTTCGCGGCGAAATTGACCGGCCCGCTCCGCCCCGCCGTCTACAAAGCGCCTAATACGATTACTATAGCAATGTTGAGAAAATAGGAATTTAGCGTACCACCTTACCAATCCTCCAGAAACCGGAACATCGGTCGATTCATATTATCGTGTTGTCTTTTCGTGTGTCTTGTTCCTAGTTAATTTTTAGGCGCCACCTCGAAGAGCAAGAAAATTGTGACGAGTGTGCGCTCATCCATCATCCGGTTTTCATTTCATTCTATCCGCGGCATCTCGTTACTATACGAATGACCTCCGTCGCCTAACGTATGACAGAGTTCCCGTTTTGATATGGTGGGCTCCGGTGGAGGCAAATCCACCCGACATCATGAGCGATTGCAATGGATGCAAGTGGAAGTACGGCCCGCATATAGCACTGTAATTCGTCAAATTATGTATTTGCCAAACACGCAATTGGTCAAATTGCTGTGAGAAGTTTATCTAGGCGGAAAATGCTGGCGAAATAGAAATAAAGTCCGAATCATATTATATCATATATTTCTTCCAGTCTAATTTCATTAACTATGTTTAATTTCATATGATTTTACTACATTATTTGTGAAAGTCAATGTAAATACATTATTGTCGTGTCTTCGGTTTGTTGAATATTTCAAATTTAATAAACAGCTTGTTTCTGTGTTTTACATTTATTGACGATATTGGTCAAATCGACAGAAATTAGACAATTTGGTAAATCAACAAATCCTCTTTTCGTCAAATTATGTAATTTGCCAAATACGCCATTGGTCAAGTAAATAAAGTACAGTAGACAGCAAAAAAGAAATAGAATAGTTCCTTTATACTTATACTTTTTTAAATTTAACTGCTAGATGTTTAAATGTAAAGAAAATTTTCCTAGAAAAAATTCCACGCGGGCCAGGCAGCAGACGGGACTCAGAACACGCACCCTTCGCTATGACCCTGATGTCCGTGTCGAATTTTCTCTAGTATAAAATCCTAAGAAATACTAGAGACCCATAATAAAAAATATACCTATAATTTTATTGCTATTACTTCTTTCAAATGTTTAATACTTGTAAAGGTGTTATATGACATTGTGGGTTACCGACAATGCGAAGAGATGGCGTTGCCTTGCAGCCTAAGAATACTCGTGAAAATTCGATACGGTTTTCAGGGCCTCGGTTGTCGATTTGACGATGTGAACAATGTCGTAACACCCATTGGCGATTTGCTCGCCCTCAGCCATTCGTGTCACATCGCCGCGCCGTGTGAAGATAAGCTCTTTAGGAGTGTAGAATAGAAATAGGTATGTGGCATGACAACAATATCGTCGCAATTTGGTTTGCCCGTAGAGATGGCGGCATATTAAAAACCAAGGATGATGGCTTTCATTCAACAGATGTTTTTACATAAACAGGTATGCCGGCACTATAAGTTGGCAATTCGTGTTTGTTATGTGTAAACTTGACATCAGTCTGTCTCTTTCACTCTTTATAAAGCGTGATAAGGACAGACTGTTGTGAAGTTTACAAATAGCAAATACAAATAGCCAAGTGAAGTAACGGCGTTAGAAGCATAATTAAATAACAAGCAAGTAAAAGGATAGGACAATCCTCTTTATTATTATAATAAACATTGCTTTTATCAATAAGTAAAAAATAAATAATAATCCCTATTTCTATTTATTTTCCACACCATTCATTTACATAGTATAGTATATTAAATATGAATAAACAATTTTAAACTTTCTTCAGATAACAACAAAATACACGTAGAACCTTACGTTAGTCTTCAATACAATTCAATTGAATTAAAATAGGGTATTAGACAAGTTTTAGGCAACGATCTCACGTTATTGACTAATGTTTATGGAGTCCGTAAAAAATGGATATTCATCATTCTGTTGTGTATTTCAGTAAAAATTACCAAATCAAAAACTCCATTTTCAAGTTGCCGCGAAAACGTTTCTCTGGACAATATGGCGTCTTACTAGTGTGTGACGTCACACGACTGTTATTAAAACGTCAAACGATCCAATGTAATGTCACTAGATAAGAAAACTATTATCTTTTTCGAGGGTTTTTAGTAAAATTATGAATATTTTTTTGTAAAAATAGTTGCCAATATTCAATCTACACACAGATGCTAACAATTGGCACTTTATTTTTAATTCTGTCAAATACCCTATTGTGGGTAAAATAAATGCAAAACTTTTAGTATCACATAAATGATAAATTAAATGAAATTATTCTCTAAACATCGACCACTTCTTTACCCGTTTCCGTGGGTAGGTTCTCTTTTTCCTGTACACTGGCAACACTGGGCTTCTGGATGGTGCTAGTCTTCCTCTTTTTCCCGTATGGCAACACCGGTTCGTTGTGGCTGATGAGACTGGCCGAGGATATGAACACGGACACTTGTTCCGGAGTGGGACAGGCTACGATTAAGATGTCATCGTATGAGTATCCTGCGTTGGTGAGCAGCTGACCCATCTGGGCGAAGTAGCCGACCACATTGTTCTGGAGATGATAAGATTCTGTATTATTATAAACAACGATATTAAATTTGACGACCTCCGTGGCCGAGTGGTTTGTACGCCGGGTTTCATCGCCGACTCGAGAGGTCCCGGGTTCGAATCCCGGTGGGGGCAGATGTTTGTATGATGAATACGAGCATTTGTACTCCAGTCATGGATGTTTAATATGTATTTCTATATAAATATACTTATATATGTACAGTGGTGTCAATTCTGACACGATTCTCTAAACCTAAACTTAAATTTGACAACAGTGTATCCTTGTCATTCTCTATACAGAATGAAAAGGAGAGATTGATGTTAAATTTAGTTATAAGTTTAGAGAATCACGCCAGAATCGACACCATTGTATGTATTCTATCCGTTAACCTAGTATCCCTTAACACAAGCCTTACAGTGCTTACTTTGGGGCTAGGCTAATTGGTGTGTGTTAAAAAAAAAAAGATAGATACAACATCATGAATCGAAGCCTGCCCAGAAAGTACATTGGACGATCCAGGGGTGTCCGTAAGATGATCGTGTAGTCAAAAACAATATAAGGAATTATTTAAACATTGAAAGTCACCTTTAATACATCTATATATATATAACTCAGGTGACTGTCTGACATAGTGATCTATCAACGCACAGCCCAAACCACTGGACGGATCGGGCTGAAATTTGGCATGCAGGTAGATGTTATGACGTAGACATCCGCGAAGAAAGGATTTTTATCAATTCTACCCCCAAGGGGATAAAATAGGGAATGAAAGTTTGTATGAAACTTTGTCAATTTTAAACTGATCGGGCTGAGACTTTGCATGCAGGTATATAAGAAGAATCATAGATGAATGTCATTGTGTATAATACAAGCCTGAGAACAAAAACTGTAGTCTACACTTCAGTTCTACACCGAAGCGAAGCGAGAGCGGGCCGCTAGTACTGTATAAGGTCTTAATTAAAACGCTTGCGTCAAAGAGTTATGACAGTTCAAATTGGAAGCTCGTAAAATTTTACGACTTATTGTTGTATGCGGAAGAATATAAACCGTATTTCTTTGATTCTACGCGCAATTGTAAATGCGCTGTTAGCAATATTACAAGTATGGACCGCGAAGAAAAGAGACAGCTATATTATCGACCATGCATTTGAATCATCACCTTAAGCTTATTAATGTCCCCACTGCTGGGGCACAGGCAATCCCTATGGATGGTAAAGGGAGATTAGGCCATGACCCACCACGCGGGCCCAGTGCGGATTGGCGGGTACTAACGACTGAAGATACAGCCGGGACCTACGACTTAAAGTGCCTTCCGAAGCACGGTGGAACTCGAGATTTGGTCACCCATCCAATGACCAACCACTGCGAAAGTTGCTTAACTTCAACGATCGCAGCCGACCGCGCTAACCACTTGCGCCCTCGAGCTTAAGATACAATTTAGATGAAAAGTAACACCATTATTTGTACCCTATTTAATGCAAATAAATTGAATTGCCCACTGGGATTCGAACCCAAAACCTCTCGAGTAGACGACACCTTGAATACTGGTTTACATACCACTCACACCTTTGGGCGGAACTCACTACTGCCACTATATGATTACTGTGCATTAAGATAATAAATACTTATTTATTTATTTATTTTAAATTTATTGACCAAAATACAATAGAATGGTACAAAAGGCGGACTTAATGCTAATAGAATTCTCTCCCAGTCAACCTTTGGGAAAAAAGAAAAACGCGAACGGCGGTATAAAGCTAAATATACACATAAATATTGATATAAAAAATAATATTAAAAATATATACGAATTAACATAGATACATATATAAATACTTAATACGAAAGGAATACATACCACTATTATATTTAAACTAGCAAACCAGTGAACCAAATGTTCACCAAAAGCTGATTAAAAAAAAAATGTATTTAATTAATTGAGAACTTCGGAGATTTTGTGTGGTTTCGTTTGAAACTCGTGATTTCTCGAAAACCGGAAGTGCTACGTTACTCAAATCCGGTTTGTAGTCTTATCAGACTATTCTTAACTTATAACTTAAATATTCTCTTTATCTATCTCTTATGGTTTGGCCGCTGAAACAGCACAACAGACGGACGGACGGACTTGTTTAATAGATAAGAGATATATATAAATACACATAACTATACACATGATGATGATTAATAAAGTGACTCTTTATTTTAAATTTTGAAGCAGATGAGCGCGAACATTCCTTTTAAATATGATGTTTTCTCACCCGTATCGGCCTGAAGAGTATGAACTCCGTCTCGGTATTAGCTAGATACAGTTGCGTGGATCGTTGTAAAGGCGCTGGATGGGTGCAAACTAGTCTTTGGGCGGAATTCACTACTGCCACTATATGATTACTGTACAATAAGATAAAAAATATGATGTTTTCTCACCCGTATCGGCCTGAAGAGTATGAATTCCGTCTCAGTATTAGCTAGATACAGTTGCATGGATCGTTGTAAGGGAGCTAGATGGGTGCGGACTAGTCTTTGGGCGGAACTCACTACGGCCGCTATACGGCTACTTTCCGCCCACTCTTCGCGGCATAATTGTTCTATGGGGGATACAGATTGAGCCTGTAAAGAAAAAGGCTTTTCTTAAAAGTTTTTTACTATGCGATTGAATGATATGAAAAGGAAAGCCAATGACCTCCATCTGTCAAATGTCGCTTGAAGAGTACGGCCTGCAAAAAAAACTTGATATACTTTTTTAGCACTAAGCTAATCTTAGAATAAATACGAAACATTTGTAAACAAAAGAAGGAAATAGATCATATATGTAACGTATAGAAAATGAGTACTGGATAAGGGCAGTATCAGGACATTTTTATTATATATCGTCAGTTTTATTATAAATACAGCTAAAAAAAAAGACTTTATTTTAAACAAAGCTGTCGTTTTAAAACCTACATATTTTATCGTAGAATATTTTATTTTATAGCCAAAAGCAGCAGGGATGATGATTACTAGTCCGATGGTAGATAAGAGCTAGATTCTGTTTAATGTTATTTCTCACAAAATGTAAAAAATATATATATGAAAAATCTGTTTTTTTTTCTCACTTAATCTTGGTAAATAAATTTTATTAAAGAAAAATTTTTTTGCTCGCTGTACCTAACTGGTTTGAATTGACAGCTATGCCGTCACAATATGGCGCCCAGTCGGCCCTATTCTTAGTTGAATCGCACAATATGTTTTGGAACACTTTGTGTTACAAATATATAGGAATGTAGAATCCCATACATATATATTTAAATATCGATATGAATATAGGGTAAACATTTTACAAACATTTACAAAAACACTTTTTGGTAAGAAGTCTACACGATATTTAAACATTTTTCATCCATTATAGTAATTTAATAAAGTTTAAAACAATATATTGTTCATTTTTTTTCATTTAGTAATACAGTCAATCGTTTTCGTCAAATCATCGAATCATAGGACATTTGATCAACCAGATGATTTGAGGACACCAAATAAATGAAGTCATATAGAATTCGAAGAAAATTTGAACAAACAAAACTCAATTAGAGTCTGTGCGGAAAGAGAATGGGATTTAGATTCGAGGGCGCTGTAGCTTTTCTACCGTATTTGTAAGCTTTTACCCTTTTTAGACATGATTAAGTACAAAAACCCGCAAGAAATCACAACAACAAACAAATCCGTATCAATACAAAACTTTGACGTTTGACAGATGGCTGGGTTGGATTGCTTTATAAAAATACTTAATATTAGTTCCGTTTTTCGCCACGCCCATTCTCTTTCCGCACAGACTCTATAATTTTTATTTCTTAAGCATGTAACTGCTGGATGTTTAAATTTAAAGAAAGTATTAATAGACAAAATTCCAGACCTGTCAGCTGCCTATTCCGCGTGGATTTTTTTCTAGTTATATTTTCTTTAGATTTAGGCCCGTATTACAAAATGACAACTAAGTGTTGATCTTTACTTTAGTACAGTTGAAAGGGATGTCGCTATGTGCTATACAGGGCGTCCCACGGCTACCTCACACGGAGGGAAAGTATATTAAATATTGAAGATAGGATATTTTAGTGAAAGAAGACATCATTTTATTTTTAATAATAACTAGAACTGCATTCACAGTTTTTTTTTAAATCGCCTGCTAAAACTGGGAATCAAACTAGTGATTAATTAATTATAAGGATTATTTTTTTCTAAATAACATAGCATTTCAAATGAAAGGAATGTCTTATTACGTGATAAAAATAATAAAGTGATACAAACTGTAGTACGTATGCTTTCTTTTTGAACACGCAATATTTAATATACTTTCCTTCCGTGTGAGATAGCCGTGGGACGCCCTGTATATAGCGACATCCCTTTCTAACTATGCTCAAGACTAGATCAATGACTGAGAATCTTTCTATAATACGGGCCTTAGACTCAAAAATAAGTAAATTAATCCTTTTCGTGGCTCTAATTTCCCGAGTGACACACCCTCTAGTATTTCTAAGGCTGCAAGGCAGCGCCATCTCTTCGCATTGTAGGTAATCCACAATGTCAAATGAATACCTTCAAAAGTATTAAACATTTGAAAGAAAAAATAGCAATTATAGTGCCTTGCAGCCTAAGAAATATTAGAGAAAATTCGACACGGACAATAGGGGTGATGACGGGGTACAGTAAACGAAATTCTATTTAGTCCGTCAGTTAGATGATCAAAAAATAATGGCCACGTATTTTTTCTTTGGGCAATCAACCAAAAAATGACAAAGTTAAATTTTGGGAGTAGAGGCTCTTTTTAGTAAATTTTCACTTAAAAGTGTACTAAAACGTAACGTCATGCGACTTTTCAAATCAATATATCTCTGCAATGTTTATATTATGTGAAAAAAGAAAAAACACGTGTCCAATACTTTTTGATAATCTACCTGATAAACATAGAAAAAAAATAGTCATCATCCCTATTAGGGTTGCAGTAGCATAATGATCTGTGCACCCGCCAGGATAGCGGAGATTGTGGGTTCGAATCCCATCTGCTGCCTGATCGTGTATTTTTTTATATTAAAATTTTCTTTAGATTTGTTTAATTTAAATTGTGTATTCTTAATCCTATAAAAACATCATTAAATTCAATTTTGCATTGTTAATACTTAAATTCAATTAATTACCTTTTCCAAGAACGCAATAAGCGGTCCAGCCAGAATTTCTGTAGCATCCTTGATAAAGGTCTCGCAACAACTCTTGAGTTGCCGATCCACTTCCTTCCTCGAGTCCAGAAGATGTTCCCTGACCATCGGGGTTCCTTCTAGAAGGAACTCTAGCAAGGCATTATTGCTATTCAAAGAGAATATCTGCCTCGGTTTCTGCAATAAGCCGTAAGCAGCATTTTTCATATTGCTAAAGTCTAAAGTGGTCTCTTTGACTATGAAATCGACTTGAAATGGTGCGATTTGCTCTCTCAGTATGAGGAGATGTTTTATTTGGAATAGTTCGCCGTCTATGTTGGTTTTGCTTGCTGATATTTGCTTGGCCGCGTTGTCTACGCTTTGAACGCATAGCGATATGGCCTCTTGAGCTAACCCTTGGAATACCTTTTTCTCTAGACACCTGTGAAATGAAAATATTGTACTTGTTTCTTAGGTTTTCACGCACATTACTCATCAAATAAAACAAATTCCAATGGGTTAGATGCACTGATTTTATTTATTTATTGACATTTCGCATCCTTTGCAGGAATGTGTCGTCGGAAAAATGATTTTTTATTTACTTTGACGAGCTACCTTCGAAAGACTTTTATTGAGCGTTCGAATATTTCATTGAAAGATTTTTAAAACTGTATTGTCCATGTTTGAATAATAGTAATAATAGTAATAGTAGTAGCTAATTAAATTAATAAAATTTTTATTTGATTCTTTTTATAATTTTGAGTTTATATAACCCCTTGACTCTAACTACCGTAAACTACCACCGGTCCCAAAATTGGGAGACCTTTCTGAGAAGAACCGGTGAAAAACTCAGAGAGGCTTTCTATCTCCTTCTTATGTTAAATCATGCAAACAAAATAAACTGATAGTATCTGTTGGTCTGCTGCGATGCGAAACGTCAATAAATAAATAAAATCAGCCCCCCCCCCCCATTCATTTCACCCCTAAAAGGATTATTTCTGGGATAAAAACTATCCTATGTCCTTTCCCAGGAATCAAATATTAATTACATGTTCGTCTGAACATTGAACCGATTTGGTTCAGACGAAAACACGCAAAGCGGTAACAGAAAGACGAACACTTTCGCATTTATAATATCAGTACCCTTTGCACGAACCAATATCGAATTCGTATCGTTTGCAAGTACGAAATGTCATTGTAAAATGTGTACTGATTTTTAGTTCTCGTTACGTACGTTATGGCGCTGTTGTTCTAGTATTCATACAAAATTTGACAATGATATTACGGACTCGCAAACTATTCGAATTCGATAATGAAATTCATAGAAATTCGAGTCTTCTTGGAAAGTTGTTTAAACCAATATTACTCACCTATATAACCTAGTCAGCTAGCGTTTTCCTAACTCCAGGATACCACATTCCATACAAATCCGCGGGAGAACCTTGCGATCTCCTCTGAACCCCACTTTATTAATATTAGCCATCTCCTTTGAAAGTTATCTAACCCCATATTACCAAAACAAGTAAAATACTTATCTACTTACCTATATAACCTAGACAAGGCAGCCAGCGTTCTCCTAACTCCAGGATACCACATGCCATGCAAATCCGCGGGAGAAGCTTGCGATCTCCTCTGAACCCCACTTTATTGATATAAGCCATCTCCTTTGAAAGTTATCTAACCCAATATTACCAAAACTAGTAAATACTTATCTACTTACCTATATAACCTAGACAAGGCAGCCAGCGTTCTCCTAACTCCAGGATACCACATGCCATGCAAATCCGCGGGAGAAGCTTGCGATCTCCTCTGAACCCCACTTTATTGATATAAGCCATCTCCTTTGAAAGTTATCTAACCCAATATTACCAAAACTAGTAAAATACTTATCTACTTACCTATATAACCTAGACAAGGCAGCCAGCGTTCTCCTAACTCCAGGATACCACATGCCATGCAAATCCGCGGGAGAAGCTTGCGATCTCCTCTGAACCCCACTTTATTGATATAAGCCATCTCCTTTGAAAGTTATCTAACCCAATATTACCAAAACTAGTAAAATACTTATCTACTTACCTATATAACCTAGACAAGGCAGCCAGCGTTCTCCTAACTCCAGGATACCACATGCCATGCAAATCCGCGGGAGAAGCTTGCGGTCTCCTCTGAGCTTCAACGTTGTTAATGTTGGCCACTTCCTGTGACGTGGCCGATATGTCTGACGTCATGGAGTTGCGGGAATCGCTGCGTTTGAGGCTTTGCTCTTGCAACGAGATGGCGATTTGCTGTCAAAATGAAAGTATTCGATAAAGTAGCTATTTATTTGAAGTGCCAAACACGAAGTATGACAGGTATGTAATCGGTACGCATCGTCAAAGTTTCTATGTAAAAATATGCAGTGCCTCTATCGGATGTAAGAAGAAACTGGCTCCTTCCATACAAAATTTGATGATGACGACACGGTTACGGAGATTACTCAATTTGGAGGTATAGACACAAGTGATTTTGCTTATTTTTACATTAAGGATTTGCTGCAGTTAAAAATATCAATTTCGTTACAATTTGTGGTATAAATTTAAGGGCAGACGGGACATTATTATTTTTGTATTACCCACAGAAATTGATGAAATTGAAGTTACATGTGAGTTCTAATTTTTATTATTTTAAAGCATGTAACTGCTTGATGTTTAAAACTAAAGAAAATATAACTAGAAAAAATTCCACGCGGACCAGGCAGCAGACGGGACTCGAACCCGCACCCTTCGCAATCCGGGCGAATGCACTGATCAATTATTTTTTCTAGTTATATTTTCTTTAGATTTAAACATCAAGCAGTTACATGCTTTGAAATAATAAAAAATATAACTATAATTGCTATTTCTTCTTTCAAATGTTTAATACTTGTAAAATTATTCATTTGACATTGTGGGTTACCTATAATGCGAAGAGATGGCGCTGTCTTGTAGCTTAAGAATGGCTAAAGGAATTTCGACGTGAGGTGAGGGCCGCGGTAGCATAATTGGTCAGTGCATTCGCCCGGATTGCGAAGGGTGCGGGTTCGAGTCCCGTCTGCTGCCTGGTCCGCGTGGAATTTTTTCTAGTAACATTTTCTTTAGATACATGTGAGTTTTCTTAATTTGCTAGTAGCTTAGATAATAACAAAAAGGGAAGATATGGTACGCTCATACTAGTATCAAATAAAATATGCTCCGATTCAACTACATAAGGAACTCTCACACAAGCGCATGTCTGTAAATAAACACTTAATCGAGCGAGCGAGACAGAACTGTACGCTTCAACGCAGCGCGAGTGAATCGGCGAGTCCGCGTCCAAATCCGCACGGCTGAGCTTTATTTTTAATAACAAAATAGCGATTATGTAAATAACATTCACGACAAATCGTGCTATTCGAGAAAAAAATGTTTCTACAGTTTTCTAATCAAAAGTGTTGTCGAGGCATTAGATTTTAAACTATTTGTGTTCTTCATAAAAGCATCGAACGCCTTGTTTTATCTTAATAACACAGAATATACCCAATATTGTTATATTGAGTGCACTTGCAGCGTGCTCGAATGTCCAATTGTGAATAAAGCGAATTGTGGTCATGCACCACAATTTAAGTGGATCACTTTCGAGCCGCTAGTACCGTACCTCCCCTTTTTGTTTTAATCTAAGACTAGTGGTTAACCCTATGTACAAACATACTTACCTCCATCATATGCAACTTGTCCGGGAGCTCTATTTTTGAATCACTCGTCTTGCGTCGAACGCTCGATTTCTACTAAATTTCATTCGACATAATTAATTCCGTATTTTTGAATCGCTCGAGTGCAACGAATAGGTGAGACTACTCGCTGCATGTCGAATGGTGGAGGCGAATGACAGAATAATTGTCAAATTTTTTGCGCTTTTAGACGACGATGATCTATTATTGTCATGCTTTTTTTGTTCGGTTTTCATTGCGGTAATTACCGGTTTTTATTATTTCTGCGTGAAATGAGTAAAATTTTACATTTCGCATTAAACAGGTAACACCGGTGACGAATGTTTCAAAAATACAGAAAATCAGTATTATGCGACTTGAAAGTAGAAAGGTGACTTATGTCGCATTCGATGATACTATGTCAGGCGAGTGATTCAAAAATAGAGCTACGGGTAGGCGAGGTCACGCGGAACACCAGCCGCTTCTGCGCGTCACCTACATACACATACACATACACATACACACACACATACTCACCTCCATCATCTGCAGCTTGTCCGGGTAGGCGAGGTCGCCGGGGGCGGGCCTGTAGTGCAGCACGTCGGCCCGCAGGTGCACGTGCGCGCGGAACACTAACCTCTCCTGCGCGTCACCTACATACACATACACATACACATACACACACACATACTCACCTCCATCATCTGCAGCTTGTCCGGGTAGGCGAGGTCGCCGGGGGCGGGCCTGTAGTGCAGCACGTCGGCCCGCAGGTGCACGTGCGCGCGGAACACTAACCTCTCCTGCGCGTCACCTACATACACATACACATACACATACACACACACATACTCACCTCCATCATCTGCAGCTTGTCCGGGTAGGCGAGGTCGCCGGGGGCGGGCCTGTAGTGCAGCACGTCGGCCCGCAGGTGCACGTGCGCGCGGAACACTAACCTCTCCTGCGCGTCACCTACATACACATACACATACACATACACACACACATACTCACCTCCATCATCTGCAGCTTGTCCGGGTAGGCGAGGTCGCCGGGGGCGGGCCTGTAGTGCAGCACGTCGGCCCGCAGGTGCACGTGCGCGCGGAACACTAACCTCTCCTGCGCGTCACCTACATACACATACACATACACATACACACACACATACTCACCTCCATCATCTGCAGCTTGTCCGGGTAGGCGAGGTCGCCGGGGGCGGGCCTGTAGTGCAGCACGTCGGCCCGCAGGTGCACGTGCGCGCGGAACACTAACCTCTCCTGCGCGTCACCTACATACACATACACATACACATACACACACACATACTCACCTCCATCATCTGCAGCTTGTCCGGGTAGGCGAGGTCGCCGGGGGCGGGCCTGTAGTGCAGCACGTCGGCCCGCAGGTGCACGTGCGCGCGGAACACTAACCTCTCCTGCGCGTCACCTACATACACATACACACACACACACACACACACATACTCACCTCCATCATCTGCAGCTTGTCCGGGTAGGCGAGGTCGCCGGGGGCGGGCCTGTAGTGCAGCACGTCGGCCCGCAGGTGCACGTGCGCGCGGAACACTAACCTCTCCTGCGCGTCACCTACATACACATACACACACACACACACACACACATACTCACCTCCATCATCTGCAGCTTGTCCGGGTAGGCGAGGTCGCCGGGGGCGGGCCTGTAGTGCAGCACGTCGGCCCGCAGGTGCACGTGCGCGCGGAACACTAACCTCTCCTGCGCGTCACCTACATACACATACACACACACACACACACACACATACTCACCTCCATCATCTGCAGCTTGTCCGGGTAGGCGAGGTCGCCGGGGGCGGGCCTGTAGTGCAGCACGTCGGCCCGCAGGTGCACGTGCGCGCGGAACACTAACCTCTCCTGCGCGTCACCTACATACACATACACATACACATACACACACACATACTCACCTCCATCATCTGCAGCTTGTCCGGGTAGGCGAGGTCGCCGGGGGCGGGCCTGTAGTGCAGCACGTCGGCCCGCAGGTGCACGTGCGCGCGGAACACTAACCTCTCCTGCGCGTCACCTACATACACATACACACACACACACACACACACATACTCACCTCCATCATCTGCAGCTTGTCCGGGTAGGCGAGGTCGCCGGGGGCGGGCCTGTAGTGCAGCACGTCGGCCCGCAGGTGCACGTGCGCGCGGAACACTAACCTCTCCTGCGCGTCACCTACATACACATACACATACACATACACACACACATACTCACCTCCATCATCTGCAGCTTGTCCGGGTAGGCGAGGTCGCCGGGGGCGGGCCTGTAGTGCAGCACGTCGGCCCGCAGGTGCACGTGCGCGCGGAACACTAACCTCTCCTGCGCGTCACCTACATACACATACACACACACACACACACACACATACTCACCTCCATCATCTGCAGCTTGTCCGGGTAGGCGAGGTCGCCGGGGGCGGGCCTGTAGTGCAGCACGTCGGCCCGCAGGTGCACGTGCGCGCGGAACACTAACCTCTCCTGCGCGTCACCTACATACACATACACACACACACACACACACACATACTCACCTCCATCATCTGCAGCTTGTCCGGGTAGGCGAGGTCGCCGGGGGCGGGCCTGTAGTGCAGCACGTCGGCCCGCAGGTGCACGTGCGCGCGGAACACTAACCTCTCCTGCGCGTCACCTACATACACATACACACACACACACACACACACATACTCACCTCCATCATCTGCAGCTTGTCCGGGTAGGCGAGGTCGCCGGGGGCGGGCCTGTAGTGCAGCACGTCGGCCCGCAGGTGCACGTGCGCGCGGAACACTAACCTCTCCTGCGCGTCACCTACATACACATACACATACACATACACACACACATACTCACCTCCATCATCTGCAGCTTGTCCGGGTAGGCGAGGTCGCCGGGGGCGGGCCTGTAGTGCAGCACGTCGGCCCGCAGGTGCACGTGCGCGCGGAACACTAACCTCTCCTGCGCGTCACCTACATACACATACACACACACACACACACACACATACTCACCTCCATCATCTGCAGCTTGTCCGGGTAGGCGAGGTCGCCGGGGGCGGGCCTGTAGTGCAGCACGTCGGCCCGCAGGTGCACGTGCGCGCGGAACACTAACCTCTCCTGCGCGTCTTGCAAAAGCGCGCGCGCGCACGCACCCAGCGCGGACAGACTGGCTGTTAAAAAACAACGATTTCGAATACTCTAGATACACCAACACCAACAAATTCATGCCCGAAACCTGTCCAAAAGGTACATTGGACGATAGAAGGAGCTCCGTAAGATGATCGCGTATTATTTAAACATTGAAAGTCACATTTAAGAACGTACACGAGCTGAGAGACATTTGAGAAATATGGCAAATACCGTGTGATACGGACAACAGTAGTCAACGCTGAAAATTGTGTATGAGAATTGCAAAATTCGAGGTTTGGCTCTCGACGACTTCCTCCTCGAAAAATAGTTATTATTTATGTGAAAGAAATTTTACACAAAGAACAAAAGTAGTTACACTATAAATAGATATATATATGTTAAAGAAAATTTACACAAAGAATAATAAATGATTATACTATGCCTCTATGTTTTGATTTTTTTGGAAATACTTATTAAATCTCCACACTAGGATATCTTTAGTGGTGACATTATTATTTTTTTTTGGCTTTTTTCAAGGGCTTCTAGTTTCTTTGAAACCCATGTTATCGAAAAAATAAATACATAGGAGCATAGAATGAGTAAATATTTATTTTATGTATGAAAATCAATTCAGAAGAATCAATCAAAAACGTTTGTATGAAAAAAATATTGCCCGCCTACCCTCGTAATGTATACAGTATAATGTCTTAATTACAACGCATGCGTCAAAAAGAGTTATGACAGTACCAAAATGCAAGCTCGTAAAATTTTACGACTTATTGCAATATGCGGAAGAATATAGACCTTATTTATTTGACTCTACGCGCAATTCTGAATGCGCTGTTAGCAATATAGCAGTTACGGACCGCGAGGAAAACTTTTTTTCACCGAGCTCTGTGGCAACTTGGCTTTTTAACGGTCCGCACGTGACTGTGAACCACGAAGTGCTTGGTGGTGTATCTATGGTATTTGATATCGTTGGTTATAAACAACGACACACACCACACCTATTTAGATAGACACACCGCGAGCGCTCAAAATGTGTCCCAGTAAAGTATTTGAGAAAATAATTTACAACCAATTACTAGCACACTTTTCTATAAATAAGTTATTTCATTTAAAACAGTTTGGTTTCACTAGAGGCAAAAGCACTACTGATGCTGGAACTGCACTTCTCAAACACATTTTTGATGTATGGGAGAGTAAGCACGATGCTATTGGCATTTTTTGCGACTTATCAAAGGCGTTTGACTGCGTTAGCCATGCAACATTGTTAAATAAAATGAAGCATTATGGTGTATCAAATATTTCACTAAGTCTTTTACAGTCTTATCTTTCTGCTAGGATTCAGAAAGTAGTTATAAATGAAGCTGAGTCTACAGGAGCACCCATTTCTATGGCCGTGCCCCAGGGTTCCATATTGGGCCCATTGCTCTTCTTTATTTATATTAAAGACCTTCCTCACTATACAACAGATTTGTGTGAGACAGTGCTATTTGCTGATGATACCTCTTTATTGTTTAAAACTAGAAGAGGAAATGATTGTTATGACGAATTAAATTGTGCTCTCTCTGAAGTTCTTTATTGGTTTACGGTAAATAATTTAAAACTTAACTCCAGTAAAACAAAATAAGTTTACTCTACCTAATGTGAGGCAGGTTAATACTAGTATAAAATAAATGACCAGCCTGTAGAGTTAGTGGATTCTACAAAGTTTCTGGGTATTACTTTAGACTCTCGTCTGCAATGGGATCCTCATATTGATGCCTTGTGAAGTAGACTGAGCACTGCAGCTTTCGCTGTTAAAAAAATAAGACTCTTAACTGATGTGGAAACGGCAAGATTAGTTTACTTTGGTTACTTTCATAGTGCTATGTCATATGGCCTTTTGTTGTGGGGCTCAGCCGCTAATATCGAAAGTATTTTCATACTGCAAAAGAGAGCTGTTCGCGCCATATACAATTTAAAAGGCAAGAGAATCCCTTAAAGAAAAATTTAAAGAAATTAATATTTTAACACTGGCATCGCAATACATCTATGAAAATTTAATATATCGCACTAATATTACAACAGTGTCGTAACTCAAAAAATGTCGAATTTGAGATAACACCATATTCAAACGCTGGATGCGATTCCGCACAAGGCAATAAAACCGTCGTTGAAATAATGCAAAAAACAAATAAGAGATGGCGTTATAAGTCAGTATAGATGACTGACCAACTGTCATACCCTCCCGCTTAATATTGCTTCTTCTTTAGTTGCGACCAACAGTGACCGAGGAAGGACGTGCCGCTTTGCGCAATATTTCGAGTTGTAGCAGTATTGCTGATTCAGGTATGGAAATTTTTAAGTATTATTTTGAATTATTACGTTTTTGCTGATTTAAACTTTAATATGGAATGGGTGTATTTAGAGTTAATACACTCTTACTGATTAATACAAGCGATATTTCAAATAATATTTTTATTTACGACATTATTATTGGTTTAGTTATTCATTTTAGACATGATATAGTATTGTTGATGCATGACGATTGAACACCTTTTATTGTTTAATTTGTTAGTATTTAAAGAAAAGCAAAATTGTTTATCATAGTATTAATCACGGTGCATTGGAATATGTTATTGTTAAATTAGGAAAATGTTTACTAAATATTTTATCTCGTTAATTTAAAGTTACTACACTCTATGTGACACGTGTGCTTTGTATGTATTTTGCTAACAAGAACTTGATTAATTTGCAGAATCTCTATGCATCGTGGGCGATTACTTGTTGGTATGGCAATAAAAACGAGCGGCGAAAACCAGGAAAAAAAAATGACGAACCTGTTGAAGAATGTGCACATCCCTCACATTTATTACCTTCATTGTTGTCAATAACTAATAACTGTTTTATTTTTGTTTAGTTTTGTTTTGGGATTTTTATTCTGTTGATTATTTGATTAAGTTTACATTTAATGCTTCAACTACTTTATAAGAATAATTAGTGATAATCATTATGTGTCGGAAAAGACTGTTTTTTATGTTTCGTAAGGACTTACTAAGTTTAAAAATAAATAGATATTTATTTGTATACTTGTATGTATATAGGAACTGTTTTGTTTAAGAAACTTTATTTTGTAATCACTTAAACAAAATATTTCACTATTTTGTATTATTTCAAACATTGTATGTTTTGTTCTAATTCAGTTTATTGCGAAATTATAATTGTTTCTTATAATACTTAATTTGTTTTTATTTACTAATACCCTAACTCGGAGAAAATGTTCAAGGTATACGTAAATATAATACCAAAAACAATTATTAGAATTGTTGTAACTCTAAAATGTATATTTAAACTATACCAAAAAAGCTATATTCAAATAATAGTAACCCAAAATATTTCTAAAATAACTACACAACTAAAAATAATATTTCATTTTGAACAGTTTGTTCGATATTATATCGTATCAACTCAAAAAATGTGAATAACTTTAGTCCCCGTAATTTTTAAAATTATTGGTATATATATAATTTCTTTAAATTCTGTAATAAAACACATTAAGAATGATTTTTTTCATAATCTATAATAAAAAGTGAATAATCCGTTTTTTCTTGATTCTGAAAAACAATCAATTTTGAGTTACAACACTGTTGTAATATTAGTGCGATATATATAAGAAAAAACTATGATGCATTTGCAAAAAAAAGTCAAACCTATAACATTAACACGAGATTTAAGAACAAGCTTGCCGTTACATGTTTCAGACTCCAAAAATCAAGAGGTCCATTTTTTGGTTGTAGTATTGCATTGTTTAATAAAGTTCCCCTAGATCTGATTGAGTTTCCACAGACTAAATTTAAATCTCAGATCAAAAATACTCTTATGAATAAGGGCTATTATAAAGTTGATGATTATCCGAGTGATCGTGATGCATGGACATAGTGTTTCTTATAATTTGTTATTTGATGGCTATTAGTCATATTTCATAACAGTAATATTGTACCTATCTAATGCCGCTTCCTATATACTAAATACAATGTTAACTATAAAATTTATTGTAACTATATACTTATATTCTAAATGATGTAATGGAAGGAGACTTAGACGTATCTCTGAAGTCATTTTTCAACTTGACAACTCTGTATATAACAATATAGGGAGAAAAAAACAGCCCTTGCTGAGTTTTTTGCCGGTTCTTCTCAGTACAAGGCAAGGTCTCCCGTCGCAGTTTTGCGAACCGATGGCGTAGCTTCTTGACCCTCACAAGTGCTTGAACACCACACAAGCACTTCATGGAGTTCCGTGAAAAATTGCGAAGAAAATACCTATAATACGTAGTGTCGTTAATTCAATTAGTTGTTTATTAGTTATTTTAATGCATTTGAAGAAAGTATTATTCTAATACTATAAACTGATTTAATAGAAAATATTTGTGATATTCAAATTCGTGTTTGGTAATATAGCTGTCTCTTTTCCACCCGCGCCGTATCTTCTATATTGCTAACAGCGCATTCAGAATTACTCGTAGAGTCAGAGAAATAAAGTCTATATTCTTCTGCCTATAGCAACTAGTCGTAAAATTTTACGAGCTTGCATTTCGAACTGTCGTAATGTTTGACGCATGCGTTTAAATGAAGACTCTATAAACTTTGCATTTAAGGGGACTTTGAATATTTAAATAATGCCTTATATCGTTTTTGACTACGCATCATCCACGGAGCTCCGTGGATCGTTCAATGTACCTTTTCTCCAACTACGCGTTTACCGTATAATTCAACAAGAGGTATTCCTTGTTCAAATAGTGAGTAATTTACACCTTTTCATCTTTAATTTTTACCCGTAGAACGACGCGATGATTACGAGCTCTGCCAGCGTCTCCAGATGAGAGCGTCTATAGAGGATACGCTGCTGTAACTTCTCATACAAACAAATATATAACGACTAAATTATGGCGAACGAGAAGCGATACAAAATGTAAAGAAAATCGATGAAAGGTCATTTCATTACTAGCAAATGCAGGGGTTGGCAAAATTAAAAAAAATATCTAAGAAAATAATACTTTGGACTTTTCTAATTTTAATAAGCATTTATTTAAATAAAATATAGAAAAGAATAATTCAAATTATAAAAAACAGAAAATCAAAACAGTTAAAAAAACATATTAAGTATTTATTACCATGAGCAGTATCGTAAAGACACGGAACGTAATGAAGATATGTCATTATTTTATACTGCAAAAAGAGCGCCCGAATGTTGGCAAAATAGGCGTTCACGTGATATGACCAAAGGAGACCTAATGTCATATATATGAGATTAAAGAGAAAGTTATTAGACTGTCAGTCCCCAGTCTCGTAAAAGGTAAAAAAAAACATTATTTCCCAACATCAATTTAATATTTTAATATACAATATTCACACACTTTTATAATAATATCATACATGTCATTTAATTTAATACATGTCAATTATTAAAAAAAATGTATATATAAATTACTAAATTATGTGCCATTAATGATTTTAGCCAGTTAATTAAGATGTTTCTACATTGAAATTTAGTTTAGCCATAAATATATTTTTTAAAGGTGAATGAACTTTTGTATCTCTTCTCGTTGGCCGTACTTTAGAGGTATTTCATGTGGGAAAGCGAGTACTTACGGTCATTTTTCACCTGCTCCTCAATGATTTCTACCCTCAGAATAACGCAGAGCTCTGCCAGCGTCTCCAGATGATTGATGTGGATTATGTGCGGACGCAATGTTTCGTACAACCCGTTACAGAGCGACACGAGGTACTCCCTGAATGGAAAAAATGAAAGTTGTTTGATATTTGTGAATTTTTTGAAATGGAAACGTGAATGTGAATTTCAACGCTGGCCCATACAAACTTGAAGCGTAGGACGCACTAAGAAAAGATTTTTCAAAATTCATCCCCAAAGTGTATAAAATAGGCGATGAAAGTTTGTATGAAATATCTTATTCCTTGAGTTAATATATTTGATACTTGGTTTGCACACTTATCTAAATAAATGATAAAGTTTGTAATTTTTAGTTTTCCTAAACTATCTCCTCACCCCTCGTTCAAAACTTGTAGAATACTTGTTTTGGCTGTTTAAAACATTCTTTCGTTTACACCGCATAGACAATTAGTATCTGTCAAGTAGAAATCACTTATTCACTTCACAGATTTTGTGTATCCAACATGTTTGATAGAATTTCTACATGTTTTATACATTGAGACATTGTATGAAATTTGTTAAATACATGTTTTATACCTTGGTGTAAACGCGGGGTAGAAGGGGATGGAGAGGGTGAGGAAATTTTTATATAGATGAATTTTAACGCGCAATTAACGTATATGGGTTTTTTTTGTTGTTATTATCGGGGGCAGGCGGCGGTGCAGTTGTGTCGGGTTGGAGACGCGTGGTTATTTGTACACTCACTGGAGTCCTCCAGACCCTCGCCCGGGCGAGAGTTGCAGTTTTTTTTGAGTGTGTATGCTGTTGGTGGCAAATGACCTTTACAGCCTGACCGGGTTTGGGGACGGCGAGATCCTAAGGGGACCTCAAGCCGAGAATTGGCGAGTGCCTCTACGGGTATTTCAGGCGGATGGCATCTCCCCGCGGGGGGAGTCTCCTCTCCGTCTGGAGCCTCTAGACCACTCGACCTGAGCGGTCGGCTAAACTAGAGGGCGTCTCTGAGATTCGGATCTCTGCTTTAGTTAGCTATTGTTCTGTACGTGGTATAGCGTGTCGTGTATAGACCAGGTCTTCGCACTCTTATCCTACAAGTGCGGTGTCTGCCTAATGCTAAGCTAGTGTGCAAGTTTGCTAGCTGTGTAGGTAGAGTTAGTGTTTGTGGCCTGTGGCGAGAAGGCGGAGGTGGGTTGGCGCGGGTGATTTCGTCGTCGGGGTACTCTAAGACGTGCCTAGGCCGACGGAATCGGAGAGAGTAGAGAGTGCGGTGGTCGCGCCCGTGTCTGTACACTCACTGGAAGGAGGGCGAGCAGTGTTACCAACCCTTACCAAATTTTACCCTAAGTATTTTTTAAATTCCCCTAAAATCCCCTAAATATAGAAATTTATATGTACCTACTTGTACTTACCTTATTACCAAAATTCTTTGGTTGTTCATAAATGAAAACGTAACATATTTAGTTACAGTAAATTATTTTATTGAATACATTTTCTGAATGGAAAATCAAAAGAAAAGGAGCTGAACGGCTGTTAAATTTTATTTAGCCGTTTTGATTGGTGGAAGACAAAGAACTTTAGTCCATACAGCCTTAGGAAACAACCTGCCACACAGTGAGTTCAGTCTTTTTGGTATATTTACCTTTCTCTATGGTTCAGTCGTTTCATATCGTGGTGCGTTCCGTTCTACGCACAAAACTGAAAGAAAACGCACTCACTGGAGGGCGGGCGAGGGGCGCGCGAACAGGTGCTCGTAGAGCGCGCACTCGTCGCGGGCGCGGGCGCGGGTGCAGTGGTCGCGCCCGTGTGTGTACACTCACTGGAGGGCGGGCGAGGGGCGCGCGAACAGGTGCTCGTAGAGCGCGCACTCGTCGCGGGCGCGGGCGCGGGTGCAGTGGTCGCGCCCGTGTGTGTACACTCACTGGAGGGCGGGCGAGGGGCGCGCGAACAGGTGCTCGTAGAGCGCGCACTCGTCGCGGGCGCGGGCGCGGGTGCAGTGGTCGCGCCCGCGTGTGTACACTCACTGGAGGGCGGGCGAGGGGCGCGCGAACAGGTGCTCGTAGAGCGCGCACTCGTCGCGGGCGCGGGCGCGGGTGCAGTGGTCGCGCCCGTGTGTGTACACTCACTGGAGGGCGGGCGAGGGGCGCGCGAACAGGTGCTCGTAGAGCGCGCACTCGTCGCGGGCGCGGGCGCGGGTGCAGTGGTCGCGCCCGTGTGTGTACACTCACTGGAGGGCGGGCGAGGGGCGCGCGAACAGGTGCTCGTAGAGCGCGCACTCGTCGCGGGCGCGGGCGCGGGTGCAGTGGTCGCGCCCGTGTGTGTACACTCACTGGAGGGCGGGCGAGGGGCGCGCGAACAGGTGCTCGTAGAGCGCGCACTCGTCGCGGGCGCGGGCGCGGGTGCAGTGGTCGCGCCCGTGTGTGTACACTCACTGGAGGGCGGGCGAGGGGCGCGCGAACAGGTGCTCGTAGAGCGCGCACTCGTCGCGGGCGCGGGCGCGGGTGCAGTGGTCGCGCCCGTGTGTGTACACTCACTGGAGGGCGGGCGAGGGGCGCGCGAACAGGTGCTCGTAGAGCGCGCACTCGTCGCGGGCGCGGGCGCGGGTGCAGTGGTCGCGCCCGTGTGTGTACACTCACTGGAGGGCGGGCGAGGGGCGCGCGAACAGGTGCTCGTAGAGCGCGCACTCGTCGCGGGCGCGGGCGCGGGTGCAGTGGTCGCGCCCGTGTGTGTACACTCACTGGAGGGCGGGCGAGGGGCGCGCGAACAGGTGCTCGTAGAGCGCGCACTCGTCGCGGGCGCGGGCGCGGGTGCAGTGGTCGCGCCCGTGTGTGTACACTCACTGGAGGGCGGGCGAGGGGCGCGCGAACAGGTGCTCGTAGAGCGCGCACTCGTCGCGGGCGCGGGCGCGGGTGCAGTGGTCGCGCCCGTGTGTGTACACTCACTGGAGGGCGGGCGAGGGGCGCGCGAACAGGTGCTCGTAGAGCGCGCACTCGTCGCGGGCGCGGGCGCGGGTGCAGTGGTCGCGCCCGTGTGTGTACACTCACTGGAGGGCGGGCGAGGGGCGCGCGAACAGGTGCTCGTAGAGCGCGCACTCGTCGCGGCACGCGTGCGCCAGCAGCGAGCAGGCGGCGCGGGCGAGGGTGCAGTGGTCGCGTGGATGGCGCGTGGCGGCGGCGTGGAGCGCGGCCGTGGTGGCGCCGCCGGCCACGCGCGCGCGACGCGACGCGTACTCGCGCTGGATATCGGACAGCAGCGACGCGTAACTGTCGCTGACCACACACGCAATTAAATATTTCATATTAAATATAATATGACTAAAGTTAAAAAAAAATTAGTAAAGATTTTGGCTCAGTGGTCGGAGTCGTGACGGGTTGACACTTACAATAATTCACCGATCAAGTGCAAGACGCTGGTGCTGCATGATATATCCTATTAAGTTTAACACGTTATTACTTGTGAGTGTTGACTCGTGCTTGCTAGCCTGACACACTAGTTATGTTTTTTAGTTTATAGGATGTAATGCAAGAGATGGCATTTGTTATAAAGTTAATTGGAATTACTGTGTATACCTTTTATTAAAATCATACAAAGTATTTTCGATAATAAGGTTGTAAAAATTATGTAATGTATGTTTTTTGTTGGTGTACCATAATAAAATAAAATAAAATAAAGTTATGACGAATAAAAATCTGGCCGAGCGAGTTCTGTATAAATTGACTTTTCGATATCTTACGCGATCGAAGCTCCGCATATATCTAAAATACTTCAAACAAGTATTTTTTTTTTAAAACTAATGCAATGCTTTTACCATATTATTGAATCTCCCTCCCTAATTTCACTAACTAATGAAATACACTCACTCGGCGTAAAAAAAACGCACCTCTTAAAAACCTACTTCAAATTACATTAAACTTTACTTGGAATTAATGATGAGGAAAACGTTTGGTATTGTTTCAAAGGAAAGAAAGGGAGAGTAAAAAAAAACTTTTTATTTTTGATTGAAACCACACAAATAAAAGTTTACCAAACAATAAAAATCCTTAATTAAAATAGAGACAAGTACCATAATATAAAAGAATACAAAATCGAATCGACGAATGATTATCAGTAAAGTCGGTATACAGAGTGGGGTTACGCAGGGTTAATTTTATGGGATAACGTGTCGGTCGCTATTTTCCTCTGGGAAGTTTTGTGGGTTTTATTCAGATTCGTTTGAGCCTAAGCAGCGGGTAGGTGGTATTAGTTTGTGTATTCTTAAAGCCGGAGCGTGAGCGGGAACCGGCCATTGTCATGTCCAGGGCACCATTCGCCTAACGGGACCTCAGCTGTTTTTCTGGATGTACAACAGGTCTTGATCGTGTTTGGCATAAAGGCCTCCTGAGTAAGGTGAAGGACAAGCCTCCTCATTCGTTTTTCCCTATCGTCGCATCATATTTATCCAATAGACGTTTTCAAGTTAAGTTGGGTGAGGCAAGATCTAAGCTATATAAGATCGAAGCTGGAGTTCCACAGGGAACGGTTATAGGCCCAGTTCTATATAACATCTTCACATCCGATCTCCCCACCAGCCCTGATGTGGCTGTTGCGACTTATGCCGATGACATTGCTTACCTATCACGCGACAAATACCCCATAAGAGCCAGCTCGAAACTTCAGCCACTGCTGGACAAAGCGAACACCTGGATGCTGAAGTGGCATATCCGCGCCAGTGCACACAAATCGCACCATATCAACTTTACTTTGAGGAGAGGAAATTGCCCGGGAGTTAGTTAGTTTTATTAGGCAACAATGATATGCCTGAGACCGACTGTGTCAATTATCTAGGCTCCCATCTGGACAAGAGGTTAACTTGGAAAACACACATCAAACAGAAGCGTGCACAGATAAACATAAAGTTTAAAAACCTTTATTGGCTGATGGGACGGAATTCAGTTCTCACAGTGGACAACAAACTGCTTCTTTACAGTTCTATCTTGAAACCTGTATGGACTTACGGTATTCAATTATGGGGAGCGGCCAGTAACAGCAACATAATGTGCCTTCAAAGAGCTCAAAACGGAATTCTTCGAAACATAGCAAACGCACCATGGTTCTCACGAAATAGCGAAATCCATGAGTACCTAAATATTCCTACTATAATAGAAGTGTATTTCTTCTATTATAGTAGGAATATTTAGGTACTCAGGCTGCAAGGAAAGATACTTCCAACGACTAACCTTGCACCCAAACCCACTGGCCAACGCAGAGGCGGCCTTACCGATTGCGAGGCTCCGGGCGGCAGGTCTTTGCGAGGCCCTTTGTCCTTCGTGAAAAGTATGTGATGCGAAAGTAGGTCTGGTTGTTTGGTTTAGGTATTTGTCATGTTTAAGGAAAAATGCTTAAATTATACAAATAAATCAAATTTGAATTTTAAAATATTTTACATTGAAAGATTCACAAAATTAACAAATACAGAGATGATAAATTTTAAAATTGATGTTTGCGGCTTTTCCTAAGACTAAAATCTTTAATTAAAGCACAATAATCTAGCGAATAAGCTACGTCATTTTCGATTGAAAGAATAGCGAGGGGTGAAAGCCGATCTTGTGTCATTGAAAAAATAGTTTTTTTTTTATATTTTTAAAATTTGCTTGGGTTGTTGCGCGAGGCTCCTGTAGGAGCGAGGCCCCGGGCGATTGCCCTGTTCGCCACCCCCTAAGACCGCCACTGGGCCAACGAGTTGCTAGATACGTTGAATATAACTAACAGACTCAGAAGACGCTCTCTTAAAGTCATTCCGCATGCAACAAAATTGATAAAAGTCCTTAAGGACTGATGGCAACTACGATTGGAAATAAAAAAAAAATATGGGTGCGTGTACTTAAGTACGCGCGTGAGAAGTTATACTTCTTTTTGGAATTATTAAAAAATAGTTTTTAATTGCATGCAGATAATTAATTACAATAAGATAATAAAAGGATTGGAAAAGAATAGTCAACGCAGTCAATAAAGTTCAGTTTTAATTTGAAAATTTTAATAAATAATCAAAATATTCAATTTAAATCACTACTGAATTTAAGTTATTTGTCCATATGTAATTAGCACTTGTAAGTAACTAAAACACGTTGTGTCTATATAGAAACTAGAAACATGTGGATAAATATTATAAATATGAAAACAGTGATCAGAGGCGACGAGCGTGCCAACATTGTTTTTGACAACGCGATCATCTTATGGAGCTCCGTGGATCGTTCAAAGTACCTTTCGAACAGATGTCTAATAATTATTAGACACTAACATTCATAACGCGCCCGCGGCCAACTTCATGGTGTTACTATTGTGTTACAGTGATGCGCGCGCATCTCGAAATTTCACTCACATAATTTTTTCATAACGCGGCTAAAGAAGTATAACTTCAAAAATAGTTCGCGAGGTAGAGCTCTTTCGGGAACGTTCTTATGCAGGGGAGATTTCTTGCAGATGCTCGTGCGTATAGAGTTCCGCTAGACCGCACATGGAACTGGCGAGGCTTGAGATGAATTCGTCTAATGGCTCTACTTTCAGATCGCGTGGCAATATTCGTTGTGTTTGGTAATGTGAGAGATTCTGATGCGCGCGGATACGATTCGCGCTACGTCTCTGTAACCAGCGCCACTAGCACCCCTTCAGAAGCGTACCTTATTATTTCTCTTTATAGTATACTAGCAAACCCGGCGAACTCCGTTTCGCCACCAGATGGCTTCGTTTATGTAACATTTCGTTTGGTGATTAAAAGAAGATTTTTTTTTAATTTTCCTGAATTTTCTTTGCTATAAACCTCACGGAGCCCGAGACCTTTCCAACGAATGCAAAACCGTGGAAATCGGTTCGTGCGTTCTGGAGCTATAGCATCAGGAAGGAAAACCCGACTTATTTTTATATAGTAGATTTGTATTGTGGGTAAACGCATAATAAAACTTGTTACTGAGTCAGTCTGTCATCGCCGATTAAACGTTGTATAACGTACTCCATATTTTATTATTTAATGTCCTTTAACTCCTCAAATAGGACACTCTTTAAATCACATTTGGCTGCAGCAAGGTTTTTTATTGATATTATAAAATTGATATTTATTGAAAGTTATTTATTGGGCTTTCAAATGAAACCAATAATGGTGGAGCCGTGAGTTAAGGATATTTACGCTTGAAAGTAATTTACATAGAGGTACTTTATTTTTTACGCTGAGTGTAGGTCATTTTCCGAGCTAAACATCGCAACAAACCATGAATGGAAAATTTTATTGTTTGTTTTCATCACAACCTACAAAGTACATTATTAATCAGCGTTTTCAGTAAAGTTTGCTGTTTAAATACAGATTTTATTCCGTTATAATTAATGTAATAATAGATATGTGGTATATGTGGTAGCTTGTCTATAGCTTTTAGTAATATTTTTTGATGTTATCTTTATTTTCATAAGCTGTTAGCTGCCCTAAGATAACAAATAAAATAATAAATAAATAAAATAAATAAATAAATTAATATATGGATAGGAAACTCGAAGTAAAACACTCACTCTGGATTTGTCTCTGCTCTTGATTCTATTTCACTTATAACCATCCTCAGCTTGGGAGCGGTGGCTTGGAACTTTCCAAAGTACACAGCGTAAGCAGTGTCCATAGCTTCTCTATCAGTGGAGTCCTCATCGTTTGGTGTTAACACTTGTTCTGTGGCATGATCCAATACATGGTTCACATAAGACCGTATCAGTGATATCGCTCTGCTTTGCAAATGGCGGTATTTCACTGAGTAAGTGTGCGATTCTTTGTAACTACTCTGAAAATTATTGAGAACAAATATTTTTTCAGTGTTGTCTAAAATAAATACTTAAGTAAAAAAAGGAGTTTTTTCTAGTAATTTTTCATTAGATTTAAACATCAATCAGTAACATGCTTAAAAATATATGAATTACAACTATAATTGCTATTTCTTTTTTTCGAATGTTTAATACTTGTAAAGAATGGTATTCATTTGACATTGTCGGTTATCTACAATGCGAAGAGATGGCGCTGCCTTGCAGCTTAAGGCTAGAAAGAATTCGACACGGCCATCAGGTCCGCGGTAGCATAATGGTCAGTGCATTAGCCTGGATAGCGAAGGGTGTGGGTTTGAGCCCTGACTTCTGCCTGGTCTGCGTGGAATTTTTTCTAGTAATATTTCTTTGAAAAAAAAAAATTTACATTAACAGGGATTACTATTGCCAATGAAAAGGATAATTTATAGTGTTTTATTATAACTCCTAAAATTTTGTTTCAGTAAGTAAGAAATTAATAAATTTTATTATATCAGATACTCACATTAGTTCTCATATACTCCAAGCACTCATCAATCTTGGCGAGAATGTTGAAGAATGTCTCGCTGTTCACTGACATAGTGGGGCTGTTCAGCCTCTGGGACAGGTGTTCCACTTGTGTGAAATAGTGTAACTTCTGTTTGATGTTATCTCCTACAAATTAATGACAGTTTAGGTACAATTCCGGAATAAATTACAGCACCAATGAATTACACATCTGGAGTCACCTATACTTAATGTTAGGCAGTACAAAATAAATGTAGGACCTTAAAAATGGCGTTGACACTCCAGGATTGCTGACAGAAGTGAAAACTTTAATCTCAAGAGAAATAAAGATTAGGTATTAATTTTGATGAAATTATACCATAGCACTTATAAGATGGTGCTAGCAACTGACACAAACCAGATTGATAGATCATAGTGCTAAGTAGAAAAAATTTTACGTAACAGCAAAATATTATTATATTTTATATTGAAAAGGAGTTTAACTAATAGTGCATATATATTGTCATAAGATTCCATGGTTTTTTTTTTTGTTTTCATTCTTAATTTTGGGGTTTGTTTGTGTGACTTTTTCACATTTTGTGATCATTTTCATTTCATAGTTGGGAAAGAGATTATTTAATGGCACAATGACATGTTTGTTTAGCTTTGAAGAGGAGCATAAAAAGAATAAATGATAAAATTGGCTCCCAAGATGAGATATAGTGTGGAAAGTATAAAACATACAATTACCTATACTGGATAGTTTGTTTTGGTCGGCCAACAACTGCTCACTCATGGTGTGCAATGCATTTGTTTTGTTCGAAACCAGTTCATATTGTTCTGTGAGTTTGTCTAAATCAGCCATTGTATCACCAATCTGTGAAAAATAATGAAGTATTGAAAGTTTGTTTAAACTTTTAAAAAATACTTACATAGAACTTTGTAGTAGTTGAAGTGTACATTTTATTTTTACCATATGAGGAGCTGGCGAACAAATGGTATAATTACTCATTTGGTCAAACTACTTTTTTTTTATAGCCCGGAGGTTTGGGGCCTGTTTAATTTGTATATAAAATAATTTTCAATCAAAACTGCCTTCAAAATTACTAATTCTGATGACTTCTGTGGTCAAGTAGTTTGTATGCCGGGTTTCATGGTGTCGCAACTTGAGAGGTCCCAGGTTTGAATCCCGGCGGGGGCAGATGTTTGTGCGATGAATATGAGCATTTGTTCTCCAGTCATGGATGTTTAATATGTATTTCTATATAAATATACTTATATATGTATTACCCTATCCGTTACCCTAGTATCCCATAACTTTGGGGCTAGGCTAATTGGTGTTAGTGGTGGAAATATTTAATATAATAATTTAATTTAATTTAATAATTTATAAATTAAAAACCATGCCAAAAGCTCACAGGAGGTTTGTCATCCAGTTTTATACAGCTCCTGTAAAATTTAGTTTTATGTAATTATACCATTTTGTTTGCCAGTTCCGCATATACTTCAGATGCTAAAGTATCAAATCAACTGTACAAAATAATAACATGTGTAACTATTTATCATATTTTGGTTAAATATATTTCATTATGACTTTGTGTCAGTAATACCTTTGGAAAAACCTCTGCAAAATAACTACATAGGATAGAGGTAATGATGTCCATGGATATGGATAAGCCAACACTGATTCAGTTTGGGGATAACATATATCAGAGTCCTAAGTACAAATTTTCACAGCTCTGTAATCATATCGTCAAATTTTGCATGGCAGATTCCAGTTTGTTCTAACATTCAGTAGGGGCTCTACTTAGTTGTCATAGAAACTTCAATTATGCTTCTGTATGTATCTACACAATTGTTTGAGTTTAATAAGGTGCATGTAGTGCTTTTGCTTACCTGATTGGTCAAAGATATACATTCATTCCTCCTGTCTTCTAACTGTTTGTAATATGCCTCATATGGAGAGTCATCTGCTTTGATGTTAGTTTCACATATACTGTCGTACCATGCCAAAAAATCATGTGTCGAATCCACTGGAGGTATAATAGACTCGGCACTTTTATCACTTGAAGTATTTTCCTAGAATCGTTGTAATTATTAAGTATAGTTATGGGTGACTGTCACATAGATAGTACACATCCAAAAGAAAAAGACTGCGTGCATAAAGTGAGTCTGATATTATAATTTAATGTCATTTGAGTATAATTTTATATGAAAATACAAACATTTTGCAAATCATCTGAATCCCCAAGAATCAGAGCCTCCAAATCGAGAATTGCTTCACGTTGTTCCGCTGTGAGTGGAGCTAAAGGGTTTTCAGAAGATTCCCATAACAGTAATTTATTCTGTATTTCTTTTAAACTCATTATTTATAAGTTTTTTTCTTAAAAAATATCATGAACTTTTGGTTACACTTTCTCTCTCTCTCTGCCAATGTCAAGTGTCAAAGTAAATGAGTGATCTTTTTTATATTCTCCCGTACTGGGAACGATACAGAGTTCATACAGCCTTGTCTTAATTTTTTTCATTATTCTTCTTTTCTTACATAAGAATGCAGGCGCATTCTAATTATTTTCTTGAAATGAGTAAGGTAATTCAATACTAGGATAAGGACTTCCATCACATGATAATCACTTACACATGTGGTTGATCAAAACCAATCTAACACCAATTCTTATTATTCATTTCATGTTAATTTACAAAAGGGATATTTTTAAACCCCCAAGAATTTTCTAAACTAATCCAAAAGAAAAATAATGGATAATAAAATATGTGGATACACATTAGCGCTATCTGTTAGAGAGTAGCGAATCTTTTTAATGGTTGCAACCTTGCTATTTAATACGTATTATACTTTGTAGATACATCATATAGGTAGCGCTGTAGTCAAAGGAATTTCGAATTCAGCTTTTAGATTTGTTTTTTTTGTTGTATATTAAAAAGGGGCCATTATGAGGCTATATGACAGACATGATCCTCTCTTGGTGTTCTTTTAGCCACCTTTCATTTCGAATCGTTTATCTTCTTTTGTTTAAGCGAACTCAAAATTGAATCTCCACCACTTGTTTGCTTGTTCTAGAAAAAAAACTCCCCTCCGAATACAATTATCTCAATAATCTGGGCGCCCCCTGACGGCGATTTGTGTCACCATCATTATGTTTAAAAGAAATAAAAAAAATACTATATATCGGGCAGTCTATGCTAGTTCTCACGAGTTTCGATAGATGGCGTATAATAAAAATAAAGGTGCTGATTGCCAACAGAGACAAAAGAGCCACCAAACTCGGCTTCAGCAGCCCGATAGCGGGCAGGACAAAAAAATCGATAAATAAACTCGCTTACACAAATAATGATTATCGTGGCATTATAACTTTTTAATGTAAAAAGAGTGACGCCAACAAGCTTATAGCACGCCTGGGGGCCTACCGCTTATTATGATTGCTTTGCCTATAGCTTATGATTTAAATTTATTATTTCTCACCGCCGCGGCGCCGAAGGTTTTTAAATGCCTCGCGCTCTTTTTGCATTGGTAAGTATATAATTAAGCAATTTTTGTACACCTTTGGCGATTAGAAATACCAATAGCAATTGTCAAAGCAATCCTGGGGGTCATACGCCTAACGGAATTGTTATGGGTATCGCTATCACTTATTTCATTTTGTTATTTCTGACCGCCGAAGGTTTTCAAATACCTTACGCTCATTGTCTTTAATATTGTTGTTACCAATACAAAAGAAAAGTGTAGGGTGGAGGTTACTGTCCCAGGTAGGCCCTACAACTCTGTAGTTAAGATATACCTACCTTTAATAAAGATTAATCATAATTAGCCTTACTTCATAATAAGACTTACAGATTACTTGCTTCATGTCTTATATCATCAACAGCCTATCAATGTCCCCAATGCAGGGTGCCCCTTCCCTATGGATGGAATAGGGAGAGTGGGCCGTGATGTGGTGACCCACCACGCGGGCCTAGTGCAGATTGGTCGATGCTTACGACTGCAGATGCAGCCGGGACCATCGGCTTAACGTGCCTTTCAAAGCGCGAAGGAGTTCCAGATAAGTTTTTGGTCACCCATCCAATGACCAAACATTGCGAAAGTTGCTTAACTTTTACGATCACAATTTAAATGTTTATATATCAATAACTGATTTAACCATTGAGGGGGTGTGTTAAGTTGACAATGGTTAGTTTTTGTTTGTGCAGTCTTTGCTCTCTTTGATTAGTGGCGTCTTGACTTATACAATGTTGTAGCCGTAATTGGATAATAAATAAAACAAAATCACAAAGTATTTGTTAATAACTTCCCTTGATCACAGTTGTACCTTGCTTTTTAAAGCGAATTATACTTTGTAGATACATCATATAGGTGGCGCTGTAGACAATTCCCTCACTCTCTTGGTGTTCTTTTGGCCACCTTTCATTTCGAACCGTTTTTCGTCTTTTATTTTTATTTAAGCGAACTCAAAATTGAGTCTCCACCACTTGGTTGTTTGTTCTAGAAAAAAAAATACTCCCCTCCTAAAACAACAATCTCATAATAATCTAGGCGCCCCCTGACGGCGATTTGTGTCACCATCATTATGTTTAAAAGAAATTAAAAAAATACGATATATCGGGCATTCTATGCTAGTTCTCACGAGTTTCAATAGATGGCGTATAATAAAAATAATTATGTTACAACCATAAAGAGGTGCTACTGCTGCTGAAGCAGAGTTTGGTAGCTCTATCGGGCAGGACAAAAAATTCGACAATAAACTCGCTTACACAAATAATGATTATCGTGACATTACAACTTTTTTAATGTAAAAAGAGTGGCGCCAAGAAGCTAGCACGCCTGGGGGCCTACTGCCTATCAGGATTGCTTTGGCTATATGATTTAAGTTTATCACTTCTCACCGCCAAAGGTTTTTAAATGCCTCGCGGTCTTTTTGCATTGGTAAGTAATTAAGCAATTTTTGTACACCTTTGGTGATTAGAAAATACCAATAGCAATTGTAAAAGCAATCCTGGGGGTCAATCGCCTAACGGAATTTTGTTATTTCTGACCGCCGAAGGTTTTCAAATATCTTACGCTCATTGTCTTTAATATTGTTGTTACCAATACAAAAGAAAAAAGAACGAGTGGGGGCATTTGAAAGCCTTCTGCAAGGTGGAGGTTACTGTCCCAGGTGGGCCCTAAACTCTGTAGTTAAGATATACCTACCTTTAATAAAGATTAATCATAATTAACCTTACTTCATAATAAGACTTACAGATTACTTACTTCATGTCTTATATCATCAACAGCCTATTAATGTCCCCAATGCAGGGTGCCCCTTCCCTATGGATGGAATAGGGAGAGTGGGCCGTGATGTGGTGACCCACCACGCGGGCCTAGTGCGGATTGGTCGATGCTTACGACTGCAGATGCAGCCGGGACCATCGGCTTAACGTGCCTTTCAAAGCGCGGAGGAGTTCCAGATAAGTTTTTGGTCACCCATCCTATGACCAAACATTGCAAAGTTGCTTAACTTTCACGATCACAGGCCGAATGCGCTAACTGCAGCGACAACGCCAGGGATTGGCCGGGTCTAAGATGACATTAGCAGACATGGGATGTGTTCCAAACCTACGCTTCAGCATGAAGAAATGTCAAATTCTACTGTCTAGATAAGTAGGATGAACAGCGTCGGGCTGAGCATCGAACCTTGTGGAATTCCGACATTGTCATGGTTTCGGAGCAGCAGCCATCGAATACGACTTTGATGCTCTTGCTGTCCCAAAAGCTGGATATTTACTTGCAAAGCCCCTTAGATCGCCCGTAAGATGGTAACTTCAATAAAATTTCTCTATGCCAGACCCTATCAAACGCCTTGGCGATATCTAGGTTCACTGCAACGGGCTCACCCTTGCTATCGACGGCTATAGCCCAGTGGTGATTGAGACGCCATCGAGCTTCTCTTGTCCCCATGTCTTGTTATTTACTTACACAAGCTATTCCTTGCACTATAAATGCTTAACGTAGATCGCCAAGTTCTTAAGTTAACGGTTGGAATTGTACAAGGGGTAAAAAAAGACACACCAACTGAGTAGTTTTTGCATTTATTGGGTATGAGGAACCTTTCTGGTCAACATAAGCTACAATGGACATTTTCTGTTTACAGTATATTTACAATTTCAGTATCTATATAATATAATTCATACTAAGTCTAGGATAATGCAGCAGTTTTCACTGTATGTAATGTATATTCACAATAATTACGAAGACCTAAAAAATCATCTAATACAGTTTAGCGTTGTACAAATACTACTCTATAAGTATTATATAACCTAGTCACACTGAGTCGCTGGGACAAACTCCTCACAACTTTGAGCTGTCTCTTTCTAACTACAGTCAGTTCATTTTTCTGTACATCAGTCACCAGCCACTTTGTTCGGTTCCATTGATAATAAACATTGGAGCTAGTTTTAAATACAGCAAATATTTAACTTACATAACTTTAGATAATATCCCCCTTGGTGCGGATTAGATCCCGGGGGCGACTAAGGAATAGGTTTGCCTCCGTAACATTCTTCCATTATGTACAACAATTGCGACTCCACAATTCTAATACAACTTGTACTATATACAAACAATTTAATTATTTAAAAAAATACAATGTTAAATTGCTATTATCTCTATTATCGATATAGGATTGGAATAAAAATAAGTTTTTTTTTCGGTATCAATGTGCAAAATTTCCTAAAGCCAGCATCACACCGGTCCACATTCTCGCAACGATTCTAAATCTAAAAGACTTCATCAGTAGAACTTGAACATCAACTGTAGATAACATACATTCAAACATTTAAAGTTAACCGTAACATATATAGGCATATTAAAGGTTCAAACTAAACGAAAACTGCACACAACACTTCCAGAAATCTAAAAGTTAGAAACGAACGACAGATCATTCCATTAGTCTCGAGTTGACGAGAAACAACACTATCGATTTAATGTAACACAGTATGTAGTAGAAAACTCGATAAATAACTTAAAAGTACACATGTATATAAAAATATAGAAAATAAATTAACACACAGTCCTTGTTCAATACGTAGAAGTATTAACTATTTCGTAGAGTTAATAATAATAATAATAATATAAACACACGTCCTTACGAGTTACCTTAAAATGGAATATATCGTAGTAGCGTTGCCTAACGTCCGAACCGATTAGAACTATGACTACGACGCGCGCAGGGAACGCAGAGTCGTTGCCGAGATGCGTAGCAAAAGCATGGCGATTAGCACGAAGTTTTGCACCCTACAATAATAATCGTAACAGAAAAATATAGTTTATGAAGCGTGGTGGCTAGCAGCGCGTCCATCCGCGGCCGGCGGC